ATCGTTGATTATCGTAGTTCCCACCATTACCGCAAACCGTGCGAATGCGATGATGAAGCCTAGACTTCGGATTAAGATATCTGAAACTTATCTATTGACTTTAACGACGTCTGCACTTCACTTAAATTTTGCAAATCTCTTACATGTATTACAAGATTTGTATAAATTCTTACATCATTATATACCGGTAATTACTGATTACTAACTCCAATCAACGCCGAAGTCATGGTTCTAGCGATGCATTCGAATCGTTTGCGGTAATGGTGCTTAACCTACGCATTATTCGTTTTTGAACAGATGAATTATAAGAGAAAAAAATGGAGTCGATGAAATGGTTGATTTCATTGCTTGATTCCCGAGGAAGGAATTAACACAGCGATTATTAATGAGATTCTCGGAGAACTTTTTTTATTATATCTAATCAAAAAAGTATTTGCAGACTAAACTCTAAACATCTGGCAAGTATATACCACAGTTTAACTACACAATCTGCCATGATGAAATTAAAAAGAAAAAAAAATGATGATAGAGATATGAAAACATTTTGATAAACACGGAACTTTAACTTTCAATTTTGCATTCGTATGTACAAGCAGAGAGAGACAGACAGAAAAACAGAAAGAAATAGGTAGGCATACAGAGACAGGGATAGAGAAACGGATTGACCGACATGCGGAACTAGAAACAGAGATCGAGAGGGATGGAGAGAAAAGAAGAAAGAGGTGGGGATGCAAAATAAAGAAAAAAAAGAGAGGGGGATAGAGAGAAGAGACCGAAGGAAGAGAGAGAGGAAGAAAAAAGGACGTGCAGGAAAAAAAGAAGAGAGAGAGAAACAAAGACAAAGAGATAGAAAGAAAGAAAGAGACAGACAGTGAGAACGAGGCAGACACCCGCTCATACGCAATGCACACACTCATGACAATTAAACAATACGCTAGTGATAATGGTATGCGTCATCCACGTGCCTGGTCTATTTAAAGATATTATTTATAGGTGTGAATCTATTTACCTGTTGATTTGTGCATGTATTTTTGTTTGTTTGTGGTTGCGTAGGCGATGACTGTTGCTGCTGTTATTAGGATCAATTATGGTCACTGCGATTGCTAGTATTGCATCATTTATTATGTTTATTATCAATCATCATCACCATTTTTGTTGTGATTATAGACGGACAGATAGAAGGAAAGAGAGTTACAGTAAGAAAGGAAGAGACGGAGCCAGGTAAGAGAAAACAGAGACGAGAATGAAGGAGAGAAAGAGGAAGAGAAAAAGAAAGAGAAGCAATGAGAGAGAGAGAAACTGATCCCCTAGCTCCCCCACAGGTGCAGCGCTACCTCTGCGTCCGAACCAAGGCGATGGTGGAGCGCGCCCTTTGGATCAACATGGTGGGCCTCTTCGTCCTCATGATCTCCTGTGCCTTCGGGGGCCTCGTCATCTTCGCCCGCTACTGGGACTGCGACCCCATCAGCGCCGGCGTCGTCAGTTCGGCCGACCAGCTGATGCCCCTCTTCGTCATGGACATCCTCGGCGACTGGAAGGGCCTGCCCGGGCTCTTCGTGGCGGGCATCTTCGCCGGCGCCCTCAGGTGGGTGGGGGGAAGGGAGAAGGATGGGGTGGGAGGAAGGGAGGAGGGTGGGGGGATGGAGGAGGAGGAGGAGGAGGACGAACAGGTGGAAGGGGGTATGGGTTAGGAATGGGAGGGGGATGGGGAGGGGGACTAGGATGGAGGGAGTAGGTTGGGGTGGAGGGGTGGAGATAGAAGGTGAGGGAAGCGGGGAAAGAGGAAGTGGAAGGCTGGAAGAGGGGGTGGGGAATGGAACATTGATTGCATGGGTAGCAATGAGGGTGGAGGATGAGGGGAGGGGGTGGATGGGCGAGAGTGTGGGTGGGGGCGGGGTTAGAGGATGGGTGGAAAATCGGCAGATGGGGGGGGAGTGAATGTAGATCGAGAGATGGGCGGGGAGACCCTGTCTGTGCTATATTTTATGGTATTTTTCAGTATATTTTCTTTGAAAGTGATTTATTGACTGACAATGGTAAAAAGAATCTAAGAAGAAATCAAGAAAAAAATATTTGCAAAGAGGAGCACCATGGCAGTTGCAGATTTTAATTAAGAGACGAAGTGTACTTTGGGTATAGGTATACATGTAGAGATAAGTATACGTAAAAGTGGTTTCAAAGAATAATGATGAAGAAATAGAAGTGAAAAGTTATGCTAGTCTCTCTCTCTCTCTCTCTCTCTCTCTCTCTCTCTCTCTCTCTCTCTCTCTCTCTCTCTCTCTCTCTCTTTCATTCTTTCCCACCTTCCCTACTTTCCTCCCTCCCTCCTTCCCTTTCACCCTCCCTCCTTCCTCTCCCATCCCCCCCACCCTCCTTCCCTTCCTCCATCCCTCCCTCTCTCCATCCCCATCCCCCCCCTCTCCTTCTCTCATCCTACTCACCCTCCTTCCATCCTCCCCATCCTCCTCCTCCTTCCCTCACACCTTCCTCCCTTCATCCGTCCTCCCTCTCTCCCTCCCACTCTTACCTCCCCTTCCATCCCTAGCTCTCCTCCTCCCTCTCTCTCCCCTATTTCACCCTCTCTCCCTCCTTGCCTTTCTTCCTCCCCCCTCCCCCTCCCTCCCTCCCTCTCTCACCCCTTTCCCTCTCTCCCTCCCTGCCTCTCTTCCTCTCCCCACCACCTCCCCCTTCCTCCCTCTCTCCGTTCCTGTCCTTCTTCCTCTCCCCCCTCCTTCCCTCTCTCTCTCACCCCTCTCCCTCCCTGCTTCTTTTCCTCTCCCCTCCTCCCTCTCCCTCCCTCCGTCCCTGCCTCTCTTCCTCTCCCCCCTCCCCCTCCTTCCCTCCCTCTCTCACCCCTCTCCCTCCTTCCCTCCCTCCCTCTCTCACCCCTCTCCCTCCTTCCCTCCCTCCCTCTCTCACCCCTCTCCCTCCTTCCCTCCCTCCCTCTCTCACCCCTCTCCCTCCTTCCCTCCCTCCCTCTCTCACCCCTCTCCCTCCCTCTGTCCCTGCCTCTCTTCCTCCCCCACCTTCCCCTCCCTCTCTCACCCTCTCCTTCCCTCCCCACAACAGCACCGTCTCCTCCGGCATGAACTCCCTGGCGGCCATCGTCCTCGAGGACTTCCTGAAGAATGGCTGCTACGAGGCCATCTCCGAGCGGGCGTCCACGGTGGCGTCCAAGCTGCTGTCCCTCTTCTTCGGCCTCCTGACGTTCGCTCTCGTGTTCGTGGCGGAGCAGCTCGGGGGCGTCCTGTCGGTGGGTCTGGGCGGCGGCGGCGGGGGCGGCGGGGGGGGGATGTCGGGGGCTTTGGCTGTGGGGTTGTTTATTCGGGTTGATTTGGGTGTTGGTTGGTTGAATGGTTTTGGATTTGTTTGTTTGTGGGGTTATTCACGTGATTGATTTGTGTGTTTCTTGGTTGGTTTGAATTTGTTTGTCTGTGGCTTTGTCTGTGGGGTTATTTACTTGATTGATATTTGAGCGTTTGTTGATTGGTTTGAATTTGTTTGTTTTTGGCTTTGTTTGTTTCAATTTGTTTCTTTAGGGTTTATTGTTAGAGTTTGGGATTGTTTATGTTTGTGTGTGTGGGTTTGCATGAGTTTGTATGTTTTGGTATTGAGTTATTTGTTTTGTGGGAGAGGAAGTTGACTTGAAAAGTTAATGAATCAACGAAACAGATCATTGTTGTTCTTGCTACCTGTTCACTTGTTCTTGTTACCTGTTCACTTCAACACCACAGATCAAGCACACAAAAGTTCTAGAGCATTTAGTAAGTCTGTGATTTAGTTCAAGTTACGAAATGACTCGAAGAAGAATCTAAAATCGTTTCCTCCTTCTGACATAGAGATTACAAAAGGTTAAACCACGAGATTGCTTAAGACAAGATAACCCTCATCTTCTCTTGATTCGTCTGACCCTTCTCACTCTCCCTCTCTCTATACGTTCTCTCTTTTCCTTTCTCTACGCGCTCTCTCTCCCTCTCTCTACGCTCTCTCTCTCTCCCTCTCTCTATACGTTCTCTCTTTTCCTTTCTCTACGCGCTCTCTCTCCCTCTCTCTACGCTCTCTCTCTCTCCCTCTCTCTACGCTCTCTCTCTCCCTCTCTCTACGCTCTCTCTCTCCCCTTCTCTCTACGCTCTCTCTCTCCCTCTCTCTACGCTCTCTCTCTCTCCCTCTCTCTACGCTCTCTCTCTCTCTCCTCTCTCTACGCTCTCTCTCTCTCCCTCTCTCTACGCTCTCTCTCTCTCCCTCTCTCTACGCTCTCTCTCTCTCCCTCTCTCTACGCTCTCTCTCTCTCCCTCTCTCTACGCTCTCTCTCTCTCCCTCTCTCTACGCTCTCTCTCTCTCCCTCTCTCTACGCTCTCTCTCTCTCCCTCTCTCTACGCTCTCTCTCTCTCCTTCTCTCTGCGCTCTCTCTCTCTCCTTCTCTCTGCGCGCTCTCTCTCTCCCTCTCTCTACGCTCTCTCTCTCCCTCTCTCCTACGCACTCTCTCTCCTCTCTCTCCCCTCCTCTCTCCTCTCTCTCCCTCTCTCTCTCTCTCTCTCTCTCTCTCTCTCTCTCTCTCTCTCTCTCTCTCTCTCTCTCTCTCTCTCTCTCTCTCTCTCTCTCTCTCTCTCTCTCTCTCTCTCTCTCTCTCTCTCTCTCTCTCTCTCTCTTTCTCCTCTCACATCCTCCCCCTCCTCTCCCTCCCTCTCTTCCTCTCCCCCTCCATCCCTCTCTCACCCTCCCTATCACTTCGTTTCATACCCAACGACTCCTGAACCACGAAGTCTCCAATGCAAAATAACCCTAATCTTCTCTCCCGCGACTCCAGGCTGCCCTCAGCATCTTTGGCATGGTAGGAGGACCTCTCCTCGGCCTCTTCTCACTGGGCATGTTCTTCCCGTGGGCCAACAGCGTGGTGAGTTCGGTGAAGATTTCTTAACGTTATAGGAGTAATGGCGTTGGTGTAGAGCGGGAGTTCCCAATATTTTCTGTTCTGTTGACCGCGGGTGATGTATAATACTTTCCATGGCCATGCTCACTGTCTACTATTTTTTTCAGATTTAGTTATTACTAATTGTGAATAGCGTAGTGTTCAGGTTATAGGACAAGAGCACTATTTGGAAAGTTTCCAGTTCATTGATATGTGAGATAATTATCTGTAGGAGAGACAACATCCAGTTTAAGTCATAGTCATAACTTTCGCAATGCTGTACGACCCCCCAGAAGGTATCATTTGGTTAGAACAAATCCCATATCGTGTATAAAGTGGTTATTCATTCTCATTTATACTTTACCGACAAGTGGTTTGATGTCTTTATTCATTTATGTATTAATTCATTTGTTCATTTGTTTATTTATACCATTTCGTCAATACAGAGTGCTATCTCTTGGTCACATTACTATAGTGGAATATTATTATTATTATTATTGTTGTTGTTCTTGTTGTTGTTATTGCTGTTATTATTATTATTGTTATTATTATTGTTATTATTATTATTATTATTATTATTATCATTATTATTATTATTATCATTTTTATTATTATCATTATTATTACGATTATTCTTATTATCATTATCATTAGTATTATTATTCTTATTATCATTATTATTATTATTATTATTATTATCATTGTCATGATTATGATATCAGATATATGGTTGTATTCATTATTTTGTTGTATTATTGTTTATTATTATTATTGTTATTATTATTATTATTATCATTATTATTGTCATTATTATTATTATTATTATTATTATTATTATTATTATTATTATTACTGTTATCATTATTATCATCATTATCAGTATTATTATCCTTCTTAGTATTATCAATGTTATTGTTATTATCATAATTAGTATTATCATCATTATCATTATTGTCATCACCTTTATCATTATCATTATTATTATCATCTTCATTATCATCATTATTATCATTGGTGTTGTTATTATTGTCATTATCCTTATCATTATTAGTAGTAGTACTATTACGAACATTATTATTATTATTGTTGTTGTTGCTATAAGTATCATCATTATTACTAGTATTGTTATTATTGTTATTATACTATTATTATTATTATTATTATCATTTTTATTATTATTATCATTGTTATGAAGATGATTAGCAGTATTGTTATAATAATAATAATATTATTATTATTATTATTATTAACAATGATAATAATGGAAATAGTTCAACCCTACCTCCCACCGCCATCCCCCCCCCCCCCAGGGCGCCGCCGTCGGCCACGTCTGCGGCCTCGTCTTCATGTTCTGGATCGGCATCGGCACGCAGGTCGGCCTTGCAACGGGCGACGTCGCCTACGACAAGAAGCCGTTCGACGTGAGTGGTTGCAACTTCACTGACGCCTCCGCCGGGGTCTCGTCGACCACCGCGGGCTTCCTGCCTTCCACCGAGACGTCCTTCGAGGCCACTGAGTGAGGACGGAGGGTTGATTTCGTGGGGAGGGGGGGAGGGTGTGACAAGTTCAGAAAAAAACATATATATGTGTGTGTGTGTGTGTGTGTGTGTGTGTGCGTGTGTGTGTGTGTGTGTGTGTGTTGTGTGTGTGTGTGTGTGTGTGTGTGTGTGTGTGTGTGTGTGTGTGTGTGTGTGTGTGTGTGTGTGTGTGTGTGTGTGTGTGTGTGTATGTGGGTGGATGGATGTATATTTATATATGTGAGTACACACACACACATATGTGTATATACTCACACTCACACACACACACACACACACACACACACATACACACACACACACACACATATATATATATATATATATATATATATATATATATATATATATATATATATATATATATATACATATACATACATATATATACATATATATACATATATATATATATATATATATATATATATATATATATATATATATACACATTCAACTTATCTTATAAACTCTAAATCTGTTCTGGGATTTTAGTTTTTTTTTTCCAACTTCCATATTATCTTCCAATTCTAATCCCATTTTTGAGATTTCAGACTTTTCTATACCCAAATTTGAGTCATCTGTTCCTTCAAACCCATTTATATAACCATTTCAAATCTCAAATAAACACTTTTCATGCAAATTTCCATATTTTCTTTCTATCTTTCAATTTTAAATCCTCTTCTGAAATTCTAGCTTCTTCTGATACCCAGTTTTGAGCTCTCTGTTTCATCCATTTATATAACCATTCTTATACTATCATACTTTTTCAAACTCTTTCATCTCTCAACCTATTCCTGAGATTAAAGTCCGTTTTTGATAGCAATTTTGAGCAATGTGCCTCTTTTAATGCCCGGTTTTGAGCCACATGCCTCCTTGCATACCCCTTTCCTTCTAAGTCCCACGCCTCCTTTATATGTATACCCTTTCCTCGATCTCCATTCTCCTTCGTGCCCCAGCAGACCTCCCTCGGGCATCCTAGGACTGTACAACCTCTCCTACATGTGGTACTCGGCCACGGGGTGCTTCACGGTGATCGTCGTCGGATTAGTGGTGTCTCTGCTGACGGGCGGGAGGGACCTGGGAACCCTCGACCCTCGCACGCTCTCGCCTCCGCTGCTGTGGCTCAGGAAGTGGGTCCCGGCTCTCAGGGTCGTCGGGGAAGATCTGGTGAGGATCCGGCCTGTTTGCTCTATTTTTTTGTTTTCTCTGTTTTCATTCTTAATTGTCTTCTTTTGTGAGTTTTTTCCTTTTTTTTCCTTTTTTTCCTTCGCCTTTTAGTAGTTGTTTTTTCTTTGTGATTTTCTCTTTTATTAGTTGTTTTTTGTTTGTGATTTTCTCTTTTAGTAGTTGATATTTCTTTGTGATTTTCTCTTTTGTATTTTTTATCCTTTTTTTGTTCTGGTTCTTTCATTTTTTTCTTGTCATCCTTTGTAAACTCGCCTCTCCGCCACACCCAATAGGACGGCGAGTTAGACGAACTTCGCGAAACTTCGACCTCCGAGAAGGACGGCGACGACCTGACATCCGTCATCTCGAAACTCCCTCCGAGCACGCTGGACGGATCCCTGAAGGAGGCGAAGACAGACAAGCCGCCCGTCGTGCTGGACGTCCAGGCGGTCGCACGTGACGATCCTGCGAAGCTGAGGCCGTCGACGTCTGACTCCGCACTCAAGGAGGGTTCCAGCAGGATGGGAATCCTGCAGGAGGAGGAGGAAAAGGAGGACGAGCGCAGCGAGGACCTCGGCGTCGATAACAGCGCCATGTCATTAGACGACGAGGACGAGGCGGCGACCTGTAATCTCCCGACCCCGACGACGCACCTTTGAAAACCGGCGACAGGTGTTTGGTATGAGTAGTGTTCGTTGCGGCAAATGCTGGCCTTTTAATAACTGTACACCTGTTGAAAAAGGGTGACTAAATTTGAGTGTTTTCACAGCACAAGAAATGTTTTGGACAGTTTTCGACTCTCTGACGAAGGTTTAATCGAAGGTTTAATGCGCCGTGGAGACATTCGTTCTCATTCATCCTTTTTCTACAGGTATAATAGCAATTGAAGGACGATCAGCTGCCAAGATAACGCTTAGGAATACATAGTCTTGTTCTTAGGTTTGTTATACCAAAAGTTACCTTGAGTTGCAAATGAAAGTAAAAATAATTATATCCAGAGTTCTCAGTCTGTGAAGCGGAATGATAGAACTCTATATGCTTGTAATCTGTGTTATTTTAGCACGTTAAAGCAACAGTTTATGGTCAAGCATTACGTGTTGAACATCATTTTTAATTTATAACTTTTGTGCTAACTGAAATAGGATAGGCGGTCGTGAGTTGTGTGTGTGTGTGTGTGTGTGTGTGTGTGTGTGTGTGTGTGTGTGTGTGTGTGTTTCGAGTGTTAGGTAAAGTATGATTAAATCTTGTAAATGGAAAAACATATTTATTTTGGTTACTTTTAGTCATGTAATGTGTAAGCATAATCTTAAGCACAGGTCCCATGTCATATCTCGACAACCATAGGCCACTAATTTAGGTTTTTAATCTATATTTTCTAAACACAGTATGATTTTCTGTACATACTATCCATTGTTACCTTCTTCTTCTTCAACAAGGATTATGACTGCATTTGTAAATAGGCGATTTTTTATTCTTAACTCATCAAAGAAAATAGGAATATATTCATGTACCTATAAACCCTGTGTTGTTTCCTAGCTAGAAGCACAATTAGCAATATATAAACGGGCATTTGTGTATGGGCATGTTATCTAGCCGTCATATCAACAGGCAATATTATGTAAATAAGGGATTGCCTGACACAGAATAATGAGGTAAAAGAGATTTTTGAAGCAACTGGATAATCACGAACGAAACTCTGGTGGTGAATGAAGCTTCGAAACAACTCCAAACGGGAACAAATGAGTCACGTGATTTGGGTCTTTGAGACGGAATTCGAAACACGTGTTGGCGAAGGAGTTTTGACTGCCATTGTACAGTACATGTATGTTTTATTCTGCGTAAGTGTGTGTGAGAGTTAAGATAACCTGAATCCCTCTTATGTTTCATCTGGGAATTGTATTAAAAAAAAAAACAGGATATTTTAATTGTATGATTTAATCGAAATCAGACTATAATAGAATAGTTTCACGCGTACTTTCACATGTAAATATTTTTTAAAAACTTACAACAATGTAATGAAGGTATATGAGCAAATTTTGCATAAATATAAAATACGTGTATTTTTTGTAAATTTTCTATTGAACCCATGTTCTTTACTTTTATATATATATATATATATATATATATATATATATATATATATATATATCATATATATATATGTATTATATATATATATATATATATATATATATATATATATATATATATATATTACACCTAGTTAGTTTTTATTTTTTTGAATAAAAATACATAGTCTATTATTATAAAAATATATAGTCTACATATATACCATAGCAGATATAAGTATATAAATAATACATTATAATAACATGAAGTACTATTATGAAATATTCTTAGTTTTCGATTTCCCCATTAGTTTTGTCTAAGTTCATACATTAATTATAAAGCATCATTTAAGCCTTCATATTCACAAAGTAACATTCCGTCTTGTTATCACAGTCTTGGTTATGTCTGTTTTTTTATATATATGAAAAAAATATATATTAATGATGATCGTAATAGCAATCGTAGTAGTGATGATAATGATAAAAAATAACAATAGCAATTCTAATTATCATGAATAGTAATAATGTTGATAATAAAAATAATACATTCGGCTCTTGAAATATTCTTCTGACAGGAAACAATTTACGCGTATTAGTTTTAGTCGCAAATAACAAATGGCTAAAAGTTTTCATCAATAGTTTCCGAAAATCTTCTTTTACAGTTCTAATAAAACTGTCAATTTATATATCACTAACAAAGATTATACACCACGAGAAAAAGTATATGTAACACAGTATGTGTAACACATAAATATACCGTGCATATTAATGTTTATATAGATTGCATTAGCTTTATATAATTACATATAAAACTCTTAAAAAACGGATTTAGTTTTGTCTTCACATCAAAAATACTGACCTATATGTTCATCAGATTTCATCACCGTCTGACATTGTGACATAAATAAAGATAATCTCATATATTGCGATAGCCTCCGGGCTAGTACAGAGGTAACCGCCTCTCACCCGAGGGGTCGGGTTAACCCCAGGCGCCTGGAGGTTACTGCTGCGGCTGGGCACCGCGGCGGGTAAGGACGAAGCTCAGCCGAGTCAGCACCAGCTGACACACGTTAGCGAGTCGGCATCAGTCGAGACAGGCCGGGCTCTCCTCTTGGGCATATCCCGGGCGAGGCTCAGCTCTCATTATCATTATCATTATCATTATCATTATCATTATCATTATCATTATCATTATCATTATCATTATCATTATCATTATCATTATCATTATCATTATCATTATCATTATCATTATCATTATCATTATCATTATCATTATCATTATCATTATCATTATCATTATCATTATCATTATCATTATCATTATCATTATCATTATCATTATCATTATCATTATCATTATCATTATCATTATCATTATCATTATCATTATCATTATCATTATCATTATCATTATCATTATCATTATCATTATCATTATCATTATCATTATCATTATCATTATCATTATCATTATCATTATCATTATCATTATCATTATCATTATCATTATCATTATCATTATCATTATCATTATCATTATCATTATCATTATCATTATCATTATCATTATCATTATCATTATCATTATCATTATCATTATCATTATCATTATCATTATCATTATCATTATCATTATCATTATCATTATCATTATCATTATCATTATCATTATCATTATCATTATCATTATCATTATCATTATCATTATCATTATCATTATCATTATCATTATCATTATCATTATCATTATCATTATCATTATCATTATCATTATCATTATCATTATCATTATCATTATCATTATCATTATCATTATCATTATCATTATCATTATCATTATCATTATCATTATCATTATCATTATCATTATCATTATCATTATCATTATCATTATCATTATCATTATCATTATCATTATCATTATCATTATCATTATCATTATCATTATCATTATCATTATCATTATCATTATCATTATCATTATCATTATCATTATCATTATCATTATCATTATCATTATCATTATCATTATCATTATCATTATCATTATCATTATCATTATCATTATCATTATCATTATCATTATCATTATCATTATCATTATCATTATCATTATCATTATCATTATCATTATCATTATCATTATCATTATCATTATCATTATCATTATCATTATCATTATCATTATCATTATCATTATCATTATCATTATCATTATCATTATCATTATCATTATCATTATCATTATCATTATCATTATCATTATCATTATCATTATCATTATCATTATCATTATCATTATCATTATCATTATCATTATCATTATCATTATCATTATCATTATCATTATCATTATCATTATCATTATCATTATCATTATCATTATCATTATCATTATCATTATCATTATCATTATCATTATCATTATCATTATCATTATCATTATCATTATCATTATCATTATCATTATCATTATCATTATCATTATCATTATCATTATCATTATCATTATCATTATCATTATCATTATCATTATCATTATCATTATCATTATCATTATCATTATCATTATCATTATCATTATCATTATCATTATCATTATCATTATCATTATCATTATCATTATCATTATCATTATCATTATCATTATCATTATCATTATCATTATCATTATCATTATCATTATCATTATCATTATCATTATCATTATCATTATCATTATCATTATCATTATCATTATCATTATCATTATCATTATCATTATCATTATCATTATCATTATCATTATCATTATCATTATCATTATCATTATCATTATCATTATCATTATCATTATCATTATCATTATCATTATCATTATCATTATCATTATCATTATCATTATCATTATCATTATCATTATCATTATCATTATCATTATCATTATCATTATCATTATCATTATCATTATCATTATCATTATCATTATCATTATCATTATCATTATCATTATCATTATCATTATCATTATCCTTATCATTATTATTTTCTTAGCATCATCATTACTATCATCGCTTTCATCATCATTATTATCAATATCATCAGTATTATCATTATCATTATCATTGCCATCGTTGTTATCATTACAACAATAATAATAATGATAATAATAATAATAATAATAATAATAACAGCAGCAATATAATAATAAAATAATAATAATAATAATAATAATAATAATAATAATAACAATATTAATAATGATTATTATAATTATAATAATAATAATAATAATGATAATAATAATAATAATAATAATAATAACAATAATAATGATAATTAAATAACAATAACAATAATAACAGTAATAGCAAAGATATGATCATGAGAAAACATCGAGAAACACATAACTACTTCTCTGCACCAAGGACGGAACCTGATAAGTCATTAATTAAATCAGTAACAAGAAATATAATCTATTTCGATCAGACGTAAAAATCCGCCCTCTTACTATTGACCTAAAATGAAAAAAAAAAAAACATATTCAAAGTCGCATCCACTCATCACATTCAAAAAAGAATATGTCTTGAAACGCCTCAAAGCATATACAGGGCAGAAAGAGGAGAAAACATCTACATATATTCATTCTAATATTTCTACCACGCGAACACAACCACAAGAATAGATATTCTTATATATCTACATATAGGGAAAAAAAATGCTAAAATGGGTTTAAAAACAGACCCATTTCCCGCCCAGCAAGTCTACAGTTTCGAACTCTCTTTCTCTGGAGTAAAACCGTTACTTTTCGGCGTGTATTTCTCCTTAACGGTCGTGTCGAAGGCGGGGTTGATGTTGCCAAGGGAAACCGAGCTCTGGTGTGTTCGAAGGCCTTCCTCTTCGTCAACCTAAAGGGAACACGGGCGAGGGAATTGATTAGTTTTTGTGATGAAATGATAATTTGGGAAAAAAAAAAAACATATTCAAAGTCGCATCCACTCATCACATTCAAAAAAGAATATGTCTTGAAACGCCTCAAAGCATATACAGGGCAGAAAGAGGAGAAAACATCTACATATATTCATTCTAATATTTCTACCACGCGAACACAACCACAAGAATAGATATTCTTATATATCTACATATAGGGAAAAAAAATGCTAAAATGGGTTTAAAAACAGACCCATTTCCCGCCCAGCAAGTCTACAGTTTCGAACTCTCTTTCTCTGGAGTAAAACCGTTACTTTTCGGCGTGTATTTCTCCTTAACGGTCGTGTCGAAGGCGGGGTTGATGTTGCCAAGGGAAACCGAGCTCTGGTGTGTTCGAAGGCCTTCCTCTTCGTCAACCTAAAGGGAAAACGGGCGAGGGAATTGATTAGTTTTGTGATGAAATGATAATTTTGGCAATGATGTTTGTAGTATTGGCGTTGATGTTAACACTGATGATTATCGTATTCGAAATATAAAGATGATAATAATAACAATAGTGATGATGTTACATAGCAATAACGACGAAAACAATGGTACTGCAACTAATAGTAACATTTGCGATAATAAACTGTAACGATGACAACAACAATCAAAACCCGACAGTACACTATCCCCACACCCAAAAAAACATCAAAAGCACACACACACCAAAGCACCCACGAACCACCCGCCCAAAAAACAAAGGAAAAGCGACTCACAAAGTCCTCCCCGAGTCCTTCGATGCCCGGAATGAACCTCCTGAACCAGAAGATGGCAGGGGAGAGAGTCCTGGGGTCAAGAGTCCTTACATTCTGCAGTCCTGTCAGGAAGGAGACCAAGAGGCCGACGACGATGACGGTGAAGCATCCTGTGGCGGAGTACCACATGTAGGAGAGGCGGTAGAGGGCCAGGGGCTCCTCGACCGGTCTGCAGGAGGACGGGCAGGTGAGGTGACGGTGATGGTAACATGAATACCAATAATAGCGGACACGATAGTGATGAATTTATATTAACTTGGTCAATTAAGTATGTTGATGTTATTAGTTTTATATTAAAAATGGTTCTACTACTACTACTACTAACAATAAGTATATCAATGATAATACTGCTGCTGCTGCTACTACTATTACTACTACTACTAATAATAATAATAATAATAATAAAAACAATACTAAAAGTTGAATAACAATATAACAAATAAACAACATATCCAAACAAACTCTTCCCTTAAACCAGCATTAGACTTACTCTTCGGCCACAAGTGGCTCGGGTCTGATGGTCGTGGTCTCGTTGAAGTTGCAGCCTTCGATGCTCGTCATCTTCCTGTCGAACGTGATCTGGCCGTACGAGCGAGCGATTTGGTGGCCTCCGCCGATCCAGAACATGAAGACGAGACTCGTTAGGAGACCAGTGAAGGCGCCCTGGAGAGAAAGGGGGAAATGGGAGAGATGATTAAGAGAGAGAAAGGGGGGAGGGGGTTGGGTAAGGGGGGATGAGATGAGATGTTGCAAAATATTGATCTGCCTTAGTAAAAATGATACAACAAAAATAACCAAAAATGAAATGAAATGAAAATACATTATTTCACATCACATGCCAACATTTTAAATAATAATGATAGTAGTAGTTAATAAATGAAATAAAATAGAATATCAAGAAAAAAATATATATTAACTGTCTCATCCCAAGAGACCAAAAAGACTCAACTGTCTCATATCAAAAGACGAAGAATATCCGTCCCAAATGCAGCAACGTACCTTCGAGTTCGCCCACGGGAAGAACATGCCCAAGGTGAAGACCCCGAGCAGAGGGCCTCCAACCATGCCGAAGATACTCAGAGCGGCCTAGAGAAAGAAGGGAAATACAAGGATAAATGGAATGAACAATAGATAAGTAAGTACAACAAGTAATTCTTTATTTGTTTCGGGAAAGTGTCAGGGGATGTAGCTTTTGTTTTCGTTCTTCTCTCTTTATCTTCATGAAAATAATACATGTAATTAAGAGATTTGTAAGCTATGTTTATTCTTTATAATTATATTTAACTCAATCAATACATCAACACTTCACAGCAAAGTCCTGATCAACATTTAGGAAGTCAAGAATCATATCCACCAGAAGACACGACCAGGCAAAAAAAAATAACAGTAAAATAAGAACCAAACAGAAGAATAAATAAACGTACAGACAAGATGTTGCCAAGCTGCTCGGCCACGAACACCAATCCGAAGGTGAGGAGACCGAAGAAGAGAGAGAGAACCTTGGACAGCAAAGTGGCCTTCTTCTCGCTGATGTCAGGGCAGCAGCCGGCCTTCACGTAGTCTTCGAGGACGATGGCAGCCAGCGAGTTCATTCCAGAGGAGACGGTGCTGCAGGGGACAAAGGGAGGCTGAAGGTAAAGGGCAGTAGCAGGAATAATTCTTTGAGGGGAGATACGGCTGACATAAATAAAAATGAAATGGTGAAGAGTGCATGCATGGTTTAGGTTCCGAAGGATATGCAGGAGCTATATAGATTTGATAGAGAAGATCATACGGTTAGAAATCAATACGTATTCCAAAAAAAGGTAAATTTTTAAAAAGGTGTGCTGAAGATAACTAAGAAATGGTGAACATGAGCATATACATGGTTAGATAAAAGACTTTTCGGACGAAATGCAATTGCAGCCAAACATATTTGAAAGAAAAAAAACGATACAGTTGAAACTAATACACTACTAAAAAGGAGGGGTGTACATCTAAAGAAAACAAACCTAGAAATCAAGACAAGACTTAAAAGATCCAGAGGCCTAAGTCCTCTCCGAGACCCACCTGAGAGCGCCGGAGAAGATGCCGGCCACGAAGAGCCCGGGCAGGCCGTACCACTGGCCGAGGGTGTCCATCACGAAGAGGGGAAACAGCTGATCGCCCTTGGACACGACGCCCGAGCGGACGGGGTCGCAGTCCCAGTAGCGAGCGTACACGACCATCCCACCGAAGGCGCAGGAGATCATGAGGATGAAGAGGCCGACGAGGTTGATCCAGAGGGCGTTGATGGCCATCTGCTTGGTCTGGACGCAGAGGTAGCGCTGCACCTGTGGGGGTTGGGGGAGGGAGGCGCCGGGTTAGTGTGTGAAGGGCGGGGCAAAGGGGTTACGTTGAACGTTGCAATGAAGGTGGTTTGGTTGAGGTTGATTGTGTGTTTCTTTTGGTTTTCTATCTCTTTAACTGTTTATATGTGCATATGCTTACTCAGACGCATACATAAAAGCACGTACACACAAACAAACTCTCTCTCTCTCTCTCTCTCTCTCTCTCTCTCTCTCTCTCTCTCTCTCTCTCTCTCTCTCTCTCTCTCTCTCTCTCTCTCTCTCTTTTTCTCTTTCTCTCACATACACACACACGTGGCCAACACGCGACCCAGATTTCACAGCCACCCGCGATCAACACCCAGGCCCTACGCACACGCCCACAACCCTCTCACCTGAGCTTGATTAACGCCGTAAATCGTGATCCAGGTGAAATAACCGCCCACAATCAGCGTCCAGAAGGTGTGTCTTGTGGTCGGGTTCGGGTCGAAGTTGACGAGCTCGGCGCGCCCACTCTCCACGTTCTTCTGCCACACGTACTCGAAGCCGCCCACGTCTATGGCGCCCTTGATGATCACGAACATCATGCTGCCGTACATGATGATCATCTACGGGGGAGGGGGGTTGTTAACAAAAAGAAAAGTTTTTTTGGAGCTGCTATCGTTATCATTAGTATTGTGATTTGTGCTGCTATCATAATCATTATGAGTATAAACAACATAATCAATAATATTTTCACCTCATTTTTTTTCATCATTACTATCGCTATCATCATCGTCATCACCGATATTACTACAATTATTACTACTACTGATATCATTACCACTACTCCCATACTCCCTTCGCACCACATCAGCGACTCCCTTTATCTTTAATAATCCTCTTGAAAACACTCATCATCCTTAACTGCAAGTCTTACCTGGATAGCATCAGTCCAAAGCACAGCCTTCATGCCTCCAAGTGTAGTGTAGAAGATGCACACGAAGCAAATCAGACTGACGGACACATAGACATTGAGACCCGTGACCTGAGCCAGGGCGAGGGCGGGGGCGTACACGACAATGGCCATGTAGAGACTCATCTGCAAAGGAAATCCAGGCATGAGTGAGGAAATACTAAGTGCTTATGAGCCTACAATCGTCTGTAGGAAAATGTGATCGCTAAGGCTGTACTTTCCTAACCTTTTGATTACATCATTATCTCATCATTAAAGTCTGTAGTCTCATTTCCATTGATAATATAATCTATAAGGATAACATATGAGTAGGGAAATACCAAGTGCTATTGTTTCGCATGTGGATTAAGTCTCCACGAAGACTGTGATTGCTGGAGCCGTAGTTCAGGAATTCTTATCCTTTGGACGACGAAATCTGAAGCCCCGATGGACTGCCTAATGTGGCTCCATATCCTCTCTACTTAAACTGTCGAAGTAATCGTCACTACCGGTCCCATTAGGTACCATTCGGTGACTTCCCAAGATGTCAATAACTTGAATTTACTTTATGTACACTTAACTAGGAAAAGAACGCCAAATAAAACCACAATCATCAATAACCTAGGATTCTACCCAAGTACGGATTAATACATCAAATGAATTCAGGTATCAAGAGATCTTGCCCCATGCATTTGGTTCCCATACCTCTACGGCCAAGGGATACAGATACCCACGGTTATGAATCCCTCGCTGTAGGAAATATCTAACGAAGGCGATGCAGGTAAGAGAAAGTGTTAATTGGTGATCTGAGTCAAACCACATCATACAATTTATTTTTAACTCTTGAACTTTCAGGATAAATCAAGCAAATACAACGATATACTGTAACTCTTTTTCGTAAATACTGACACCCTTTCCGGACCCGTATTTCCTCCTGTGACTTTGCAAGTCGATAATTGATGTGCACTCACCTGGATAATGAAAGTAAAGGATCCGATATAACGAACGACTCGGTGAAAGCGTCGTTCCAGGTATTCGTACGCGGACGTCACCTGTGGAAACATTCACTTTTTAGAATAACAGGAAAAAAATTTAGAAGACTAGATAAAGATATGTCATTTGTTATTTCCCCATTATGTTGAAGACTAGAAAAAATACGTATGAACTGGGTTTTTTAGAAGATTAAAGAATATTTTCAGACTTTAGATAAAATATAATTTGTATTCTGCTTAAAGTTTAGTAATTATTATATAATCTGTTGACATAATCGCCTATAAACTTTGCACTTTCATGTCCATTGATAAATTAACATGAAACTACTAGAATCGTAGGATATATAATAGAGCAAATTTGGTAGCGAAATATATTGAACATACCTGTCGTTTACCTCTGATGCATAAGAAAGATGGAACATTGTCAGTTTAACAATTAATAAACATTTACAATTCTGGCGCTGAACATCATGTATATAAGTGAAATATCTGGATATTTTTATCATTAATAACTAATTTAAAAAGTTCCTACCTGCAGCTTATAGAAGACAGGGAAGTACAGGTAAGCCGCCGAAGGCATGACGAAGAAATACGAGAACCCGATGAGCCAGTAAAGGAAACCGAACTGATAGACCTCCGACGGCGTCCCGAGAAGCGTGATGGCGGACATGAAACTGTGGGGGAAGAAAAAGGCAGGTTATGATGGAACGAAATGCACGCGAGTTTGACACATCCATGGTAGCTATTTTTTAGGAAGTATGAGACTTCTCTCGGGTTGTACAGCCTTTACTAATGTGGTTGTACTTCATCCCATCTTCGTTAGTGCGTAGCCAAGCTAACCCTCAAACAGAATGTGATACATGTTTAATATTTTCATATAAACTTTCAAACTTTTCCTAATTTTGAAACTATAATACAGAAGAAAATGTCTGATTATAAGCTATGAACACTTTTGGTGAGAAAAGGGAGTCCAATTAGCTTAATAGCAATGGAAAGGAGGCGTGACTCATGACTTTGTGATAAGGGAGTGTTCTTCGGCTTAGGGTTCTCCCATGGAATATGCCTGTTATCACATAAAGAAATAACAGCAATACACAGCATTTACAAATCGAATAAGTAAAAACTATATATACACCGAACTCACCTAGCAATTAAAGACATAGCAACGGGGAAAGTGGTCATGGATTTGCCAGCCATGAGGAAATCGCTTGTGTTCTGTTTCTTGCCACACACGCCATAGAAAATACCGATGGCAGCGGATATGGCAAGCATAAAGCCGAATACCGTGTAGTCGATCCAGGTAAACCTCTCCACCAGTTCGTCGATATTGACCGCCATGTTGAGGGTCTTGGGGTCAGCTCGTCTCTTGTTATCTGCGGAGAGAGAGGCATTGGCATTATTTCTTAAAGTTTTTTGTTTTGTCTATTTGCTTAAAGGAAGAAGGAGAATAGGTAGATATGATATAGATCGGAAAGGTATACTTCAACAAACATATGTTGGATAATGTATTCTATTTTATATTAACATGAGGCCCCAGAGAGAGAGAGCCTATATCACGCAAATAATGTTTTGCGTAAAATGTAATTACAATTTATATTCGTTAGTTTGTTTTTATCGTGTGCAAGTTTACATCCGTTATACTCCTATTGGCTAGTAATAGAGAGAAATTAACGTTTGCAATATTCATAAGTGCTTATGCGAACGAAAAATTATTTATTTACCCTCATCATCACAGAGGAACATTTTCTACAAATCCCGTGAATCACAGAAAATGAAGCTATAACAGCATAACTTATCTAAAAATTATTAACATATCGTTTTATACAATAAGAAGTCTCCAGGTAACTCAGTCACAACGAACCACACAACATAAATAAATATAATCAAACTTACCAGTTATTATGTATAAATGTAGGCAGTATAAACGTCCTATATAGCGTCACAAGCACAGTGTTTGACCACAGAAATGCACAAACTGTCAAGTAATACAGGTAAGTGTCCTAAGCATTCTTTATAAGTGTAACAGTAAAGGCTGTCCTAGTTCCCCAAGTTAATTACCTGGAATTGAGAGTGCGGTAGTTAGGGAATTCGGGGTAAGGGTGGATTCTGCCAACACTTATTTAAAAGGTTTTGATAAATAAAAAAAACAGTATGGTCATGTCTTGTGATATTCAGAATCATAATAAGATTTATTACTGTTATTGATGTTCTGTTTATACTAACAGTAGGAAGTAATGAATGCCGATAAAGCAAACCGTAGCGACGAAAATGAAGAATCACTGATCATAAGGATTAATAAGAAACGCGAGTCACATGGTGTTAGTAATGATATTGGTATTATTATTAATGATGTTATTTTACAACCATTATGACTAACATTATCGGTAATACCATTGTTAGTATCATCATCGTCGCCATCATCATCATCGTCATCATCATCATCATCATCATCATCATCATCATCATCATCATCATCATCATCATCATCATCATCATCATCATCATCATCATCATCACCATCATCACAATCACTATCACCTTCATCACTATTATCACTGTCACTATTATCATTATTATTATCACCACAGCAGACTGTATATAATAGTAGTGTTGACTCCTCGCCCTCCCTTGTCTATTGTATGTAAAACAGTTGATGGGAATGTGTGTATCTACGTATGTACGTGTATGGGTATGTCCGTGCGTAGGAGTGTGTGAATGTGCATGTAAACAGTATGAGTTTGTATCTGTGTGTGAATACCAAAAGAAAATATGTCCGTGCTGCTGCTATGGCAGATAGGATAACATTACTCAAAATATATTTGTTGTAATATGAAGCACTAGAGGATTTCACTTTCAGGCCTTATCTTTTAATATACATATTTTGCTTCGTGTTCTCGCTCCGCGCATGTCCGTGTTTATGTGGGTTCGAATGTGTGTATGGATGTATATATATGTGTATATATATATATATATATATATATATATATATATATATATATATATATATATATATATACATATATATATATATATATATATATATATATATATATATATATACATATATATATATATATATATATATATATATATATATATATATATATATATATATACATATATATATACATATATATATATATATATATATATATATATATATATATATATATATATATATATATACATATATATATATATATATATATATATATATATATATATATATATATATATATATATACGTGTATATAATGTCTATCTATATATAAATATATGTATACATATAAATGTAATATAGATTATGTACTTATGTATGTATCTATAATGCAAGCATGTGCGCCTGCAAGCGACTAAGAGGCACAACCGCGTTCCCTGGCAACAGCTTCCCCCTTGCTATGAGGAGAGGGAAGCGGCCAGAGGGGCGATCCCCGCTCGCCGGTTGGAGGCTTGGATCCCCGACAAAAACTCGAATGGAAGTTGGGAGTGTTTATAGGATCCGGTCTGCGCGGGATTGCCGGCATTGGGTAAATGTCCCTTATGCCTGTATTTATTTTTCTTGTATTCGGAGGATTTGATGCGATTGTTAATGTTTTCGATGGTATTCAAACCGCACGGATGTTTTAGATGCATTCATATTTTAACGCAGAATATACTCGGGTCGGTGGGTGTGGGGTGGGGGGGCGGGCATTCAGTTAACTCTGCATGTAAAGACAAACCCCTTTTTTGAGGGGAGTGGCGAGGTGTTCATTTATTTTTTTGTGTGTGTTTTACGTAGTTTTACGGAATTTTCCCAGATTTCCTATTGTTACTGATAAAATCACACATCCTAATTTTCTAGTGTCCATATATTTTCGTGTGTTAAAGTATTTTTATGGCACTATCGTGTCTCCTTTTTTTTCATCGTGTGGGATTTTCCACTCTAAACTCTAGACTCTTCTTCTGTTTTATCTGCTTCGATTCAACCTGTCTGCATTTATTATGTAAATGTGTTGAAAGTCAAACCGTAAATATGCCTTTTCCTTATCTTCATATTTATTCATGTATCGTTATTAATCATCATTAACGCCTCCATCACCAACATTATTCACAGTATCATTACTATGACTACTATTATCATCATTTTCAAATGTCGGGTAATAATTTCAACATCATTTTTAATTTGGTGTTTTATTCGAAATATTTTTGCATTTGTTCTTCCGAGAAGCTGCTCCGCCCAGCTCTTGCGAAGGCGTAAGGCAGGATCACTGTTATTGTTATCTTTATTATCTTTATTGTTTTCATTCTTATTGTTGTATTCGTTACTATTATTACTGTTACTATTCTCGTTGCTGTTATCATTACCATTCTAATTTTCAATATTTCGGTTCTCTAAGATTACTGTTACTCTTTTCATCTGTTTTTTTCGCTTTACACTTACACACGCGCGCACACACACACACACACAACACAATATATGTATCCCCCCTCTTCTACACACACACACACACTCAAACAAACAAACACATAGACAAACAAATATATGTATATATATATATATATATATATATATATATATATATATATATAAATATATACATACATATATATATAGGTCTGCCGAGACCTCGAGACTCGTGGCAAGGACCAGTCTGACGAGTTCTCAAGATTCTAGGAAAACTTCTCAGAGAGGTTCTCGTTTTCTTTGGCTCTGGACTTCTGTATGCGTGAGGTTGCTTACTGTATGTTAATGAGTTGTGTTCTTGTCGTTTTTTCTAGAGGATAGATGGCGAGAGAGGAGGAGGGGAGGAAGGGTGAGAGTGTGAGAGGGAGGGAGGGAAGGAGAGGAAGAGAGGGAGGGAGAGGGAGAAAGAGAGAGGGAAAGAGATAGAGGGAGAGAGATAGAGGGAGAGAGAGAGAGAGAGAGAGAGAGAGAGAGAGAGAGAGAGAGAGAGAGAGAGAGAAAGAGAGAGAGCAGACAAACATAGACCGAGGTAGATAGACAGAGATAGAGAGAAAGATGTGTGTGTGTATATAGATAGAGAGAGAGATAGAAAGAGCGCGCGAGTGAACTTTCATCTGCACCTGAATATGAGCGGCGTAAAGGCTTTTCCTTTTCAAACTAAAAATCGCATTTTGTCTTCAGAAATCTTGACTGATTTCTCACTCTCCTTTGCCGTAATATTTTACATTTATTTATTTATTCATTCATCTAAAAGTGTGATCGTATGTGACCCCCCCCGCCCGGTTTTCTGTTTAGCTTTCTTATTACACTCATAGTGATATTCATGACCTGCTGGTGTCGTCGGTCTGTTTCTCCTGCTTAGCGTCCCGGTGACGGCAGCCCTCTTGGTGTTGTGTTCAGTGGCATGTGGAATGCTTTATATGTATGCATATACATGGTAGAAAAACCCACACTGCAAAAGCTAGTTTTTGTAGAGTGGGTTTTTCTGCCATAGTATCAACATGTATATATATATATATATATATATATATATATATATATATATATATATATATATATATATATATATATATGTATGTGTGTGTGTGTGTGTGTGTGTGTGTGTGTGTGTGTGTGTGTGTGTGTGTGTGTGTGTGCGTGCGTGTATAAATAAATAAATATATATGTGTATGTATATATATATATATATATATATATATATATATATATATATATATATATATATATGTGTGTGTGTGTGTGTGTGTGTGTGTATGTGTGTGTGTGTGTGTGTGTGTGTGTGTGTATATATATATATATATATATATATATATATATATATATATATATATATATATATATATATATATATATATATACACGTACACACACACTTGTATTTTTCCCTCTTATGGCATTTCTCTCTCTCCCTCTCTCTCTCTCAGTTTCTCTAGATATTGGTGGTCCTAATAAATACCATGGAGAGCCTTTCACTCGTCACATGACCAGCGCCCACAGCAACTGTTACCACATACGCACACACCTCTCTCCCCACACACGTGTTGAAAAACGTGACCCTTAAACTACATAGAATATCCATATAAGCTCCTGACACATACGTGATAAAAGTGTGATCCTTTAACAGTTGCATGACACAAAAACAACAACAAAAAAGTAAAATAGATTTAAAGCAACTGGCATACACATCTGCCATGAACAATAACACTTTTCCAAAGCTTACAAATCCAGCTTCAAACACAGTCAATTTTTTTTTACTGTTGTTTATATCAGCCACTGCCCCGTGACCAACACACGGAGGAATCGAATAAGAAATCGGTTTGTCGAATAAGAAAGTGGCTTGTCGACTGGATGTTTGTTACCTGTGCTGAGGATAACAGGTCTTAATTAATGCAAAACATTAGAAATGATGAGAGAGAGAGAGAGAGAGAG